AAAAAAAAAAAAGAAAAAACCTGAAGGATATGAATCTCCAGATTAAAAGCATTCAGCAAATGCATAACATAATGGAGCAAAACACATACATACCCCTCCAAGACACATTGTTGTATAATATCAAAATGTCTATTAAAAGCCTAAAAATTTCTAGAAGAAACAAAACAGATCACAGACAAAAGATCACTAATCAGAAGGGCATCACACTTCTTAATAGCAACACAAAAATCTCAAAGACAAGGGTGCAATGTTTTCAAAATCCTGAAGGAAAATTATTTTCAAGAATTCTATACCTAGGTGTGTTAGTTTGATATTGTTACTGTAACAAATTTTGTGACTTAAAACCATAAAAATGTATTATCTTGCCGTGCTGGAGTCAGAAGTACAAAATGGGTTTCACTGAGTCAAAATCAAGAGGTTGGCAGAGCCAATCTCCCTATGGAGGTTATAGTGGAGAATCCTTGCCTTTTTCAGCTTCTGGAGGCTGTCTTCATCCCTTGGCTCATGGCCCCTTTCTCTATCTTCAAAGCATGTCATTCACCATATGCTCCTGTTGTCCTATTCCTCTCTCTTACTCTGATCCTTGTACTTCCTTCTTATAAGGCCCCTTTTGATTACATTGGGTTCATCCAGACAATGTGGAATGATGTCCCCATCTCAAGATCCTTAATGTAATAATCACATTTGCAAAGTATTTTTGCTGATGTAAAGTAACATGTTCACAGGTTCCTGGGATTAAGACATGGGCATCTTTGGGGAGCTATTATTCAGCTTCTATGCCAAGTGAATAAAGACATTTTCAAGCTATAAGGCCTTAAAATTCTACTTCCCATGCACTCTTTTGTAAGAAGTTATTAGAGGATATGCTTCATCGAGGTAAGATGGTAAACCAAGGAAGAGGAAGACAGGGGATGAAGGGAGAGGGGCTCAAAGGGAATTGCTGGAATGAAGGGGAAGCAACTGGACAAAGGCCAGGCTGCAAATCCAGAGAACACATGTAAGACAGTGGAAGGGAGGAAGATTCTGAGGAACATGAAACTGGTAGATTCTTTGATACATGAGACCACATGAAAGATTTTTGTGATGCTATGAGCAGAAGACACCCTGATAAGTAAACAAATGGGAAAAGGAGTAAAGTAACAACTTCAGGAAAAACCAAAAGGTTTACAAGAAGGGAAACGTAATCATGTCATGTAATGTGGCTCAACAGAGAACAATATTTTCACAAACATAATAATGTAAACCCTTAGATTCAGCAAGAAGTTATGATAACATGTTAGGAGATTATAGGGAAGGAACATGCATGGTAAGGGAGCTCGGGGGAAGTGCTGAATTCTTATCTGAAATCAATAGATAATATCCAACACTGCGAAACCAAGAAAGAACCATATAAGTGGACGCTGTAGAAATACAGAGCTAACAGTAGGAGAAACAGCTAGAAGTTGAAAATGGTGGCCTTTGATGAGCAAGATTGAAGAGTAGAGGAGGTAAAGGTGAACTTTTGTTTTTCATTATAAGCTTTTAAATACTGTTTGACCCTCTGTTAACTATTTGCGTGTCTTATTTGGATAAAAAATAATAAATTTTAACTTTAGAAAGTATACATCAAAATTTGAAAGGATATGAAGAGATAGTTCACCAAAAAAAAAAAAAAGAAATGCAGATGACCCTTAAACATCTGAAAAGATGTTTGACCTTATTAAAAATAAGAAAAATACTGGCTGGATGTGGTAACTCACACCTATAATCCTAGCACTTTAGCAGGTTGATTTGGGAGGATTGCTTGAGGCCACAAATTTGAGAACCCACCTGAGCAAGAGCAAGACCCCATCTCTACAAAAAATAGAAAAATTAACTGAGCATGATGTCATGCACCAGTAGGCCCAGCTGCTCAGGAGGCTGAGCCAAGAGGATCATTTGAACCCAGGAGTTTGAGGTTGCTGCAAGCTATGAGATTCCACTGCACTCTACCCAGGGTGACACAAGACCCTATCTCACAAAATAAAAAATAATAATTTATTAATTAAAAATAAGAAAAATACAAATTGAAACTAAATTTAGGTTTTTTTTTTCTCATCTATCAGATTGGTAAAAATTCAGTGGTTGATGAGACCCTCTTTCGGTAAGGCCGTGGGGAGTGAAAAGTGATTCAACCCCAATCAAAAAGAAATAGGCATAAATCACTAAGACTACAAGTGCATTGATTCACTAAACCCTCTTCTAGAAATGTATCCCCAGTTACTCCTGTATGCATATGAAATAACATATGTAAAAATGTTATTCATTATAACAATGGTTTGTGATAGCAAAAGATTAGAAAGAACTCAAACATCTGTCTACAGGGACCTGCTTAAATAAACTATAGTCAATCACTTAGTGAAAAGTATTTATATTCTCAATGAATAAAGAATAATTGTATAACCAGCTTCCAGGCCCGCCAAAGCAGAAAGACCTATGTGTAAAGCTTCCCTGACGGAGCAGACTGGGGCCTTTCTAAGTCTGAGCATTAGAGGAACTTGGTGCCCAACCTCTTTCAAAACTATAGACACAAAGCAAGCAGGGCAATGAGGCAATGTCTGATTTAATGTCAGTCCTAGACTACTTTTTATTAACTGTGACATTCTGGACTGAAGTTCATCTGTTAGATGGGGATAAAATTCCCTAGCTTATAGGGTTATATGAAGGTTAAACAGGCTAGTGTGTGCGATACAGGTGACACAAGGCCTGGCCAGCAATAAATACACCATGAACAGGAGTTATTAATAGTAGCACCGGAAAAAAAGAATCCTGTCTCCAGGGCTGTATTCATTGTAGAAGGAAAGTCATGTTGGAAATCCCAAGATGAGAATCAAAAGTCACCACTCGAAACAAAAGAATTAAAGGAATTTTCCCTCATAACCAGGCAGTTTTGGAAGCAACTCTACAGACACAGGCAGATAGATACATGGTCCACCCTCATGTGCCCCCAGCTTCTCCCTGCCGCCACCTCCTCTGAGGACTGGCAGAGACTTTTCCTAAATAACCTAGGTCGGCAAGTCTGGAAGGACCAGAGCCCAAACCCCTTTTGTTTAAGATTAGAAACCCGAGGACCAGCAAAGTACCCAAGAGCACACAGCAGTGGTCCCTGTCCAGTCAGGCCGACACACTAACAAAATCGCTAGCCAGATGGACATTAAGGTAGCAATTTTCCAATGATTCAAAACAGAAAGGATAAACCTAAAAGCAAGGGCACTGAGCTAAGTTGACTTTGATTCACTCCTGAAAAGGGCTGTGATCGATGTAAAAGCATACAATCAATATTGGTGGAATAAGTAATACATTTACATGTTTCAACCCAGTTCGAAGGCTGTGCCTCCACTTCACCTTTTATACATTTCCCGTGGAATGAACCCCCAGTCTTAACGGCAGCTTGTATTGCAGTGATGAGGATTTCTAGAATATACCCCACCCCTGCTCCAGAAATGACCAGATATGGAATGCTGGGTTTGCATCTCCTCATCTGTAAAAGGGGATATCAGCCCCCTTCATCATGCAGTTTAAAAAAATAAAATCAGATAACTACATCTGTCTGGCACATAGTAGGTACTACTTCCCTCAGACTCAGATGTGAGTAATCTAATCATCCCACAACAATCCACCACGCCTGCTCTCTGAATTCCAAAGAAAGATTTTCCACTAAGCACCTCAAAAAAAAAAAAATACATACCTTCCATGATACTTTCACAAGTTGATTGTTTTTAATTCCCTCAGCAAAACCAAGAGTTAAGAAGAATTGTGAGGGTATTTCTTTTCAAATTCCCAAAATACCTTCTTCATTCACATAGCCCTTGCAGACTCCTTTCCCCTGTAGCCATGCTGCTATGGAAAACATTGGAGCTAGCCACATTCACTGGGTTCCTGATTCACCTACATTCCTGGCCCAGGAATTCACTTGTAGTTAAACACTCAGTAACTGGTTCTTAACTGAACCACACAAAATCAGGTGAAAATGACAACAGAGATATATTGAGCACCTACTATATGCTAGACACTGCATGAGACCATTTCACTTTCATGGTCATCACAATAATCCTGAGAGGTAAGCAACATTGTCCCCTCCTTACAGATGACCAAATAGAAATTCATAGCACTAAGGGACTTGCCTAAAGTTTCATTGTTAAGAAGGAGCAATGTGGGATGGAACGCAGGTCTCCTGACTCCAGGTCTGTCCACTGTGAGACCACAAGTTTGTCGTAACTAGAGCCTCTTGCATCTAACGGACCTTTGTAACTGCATTCCCTTCCCACCACCCTTGCACACATACGGAAGCCCCTAATTTTCAGCAAGTCATCTGACAACTCCAAAAGAGGGGCCATATCCTTTTTCTCTACTTCTGTGGATGAACAAAGACAACATCATATTTCCAACACATTAGTCAGACCAAGGAGGAAAAAATCCCCATGACTTCAATAATTTTCCACCCTTTGGAATAAGGGCATATATATACAGTTTACCATAATATATAAACAGCGCTTTAAATGATGCCAATCTCTCTTTTAATGTGGCCTAAATCCTAAAATGTAAGGTTTGATAGCATCCTTTCTTATATTGTAAGTCCACACAGAAACCTTAATAGATATGTAAAACAATTACTTAGATACTCTCACTAACACAGATTCTCCTTGCAGCTTGCACCCAGTTTGACTCTGGTCCTAGGCGTGCTGACCTGAAATAGTTGCTGGCTGCGGCAAGCACCACGCGGTGGCAGGCGAATTCCTGAATGTCCACACACAAGATGACATCTGTCAGAGCATTTTCCCCTCGAAGGGTCTCCAGGCCATTTTGAAGAATTAAGGAGAGTCCCGTGTCGTCAAATTTTACCTTATCCCCATTTAAGATTTCCACCAAGTCTCCCCTTTTCTGAGAGGTCTCATCTGCAGAAGGTGCCAGGGGCCCTTCCAAACTCTTCTCTACCACATCGCCCATGGTCCAGGCACCCCTCTGTCCTGCCATCCACATCCAGACTGAAGGAGCACCCCAGTTTCAGGCGGGCCACATTGCAGAAGCTGAGCGGATTTCCTGTGCAGGGCCCTCCACTTATCACCAGCTGTCACACACACATAACAGGAAGTCTCGCACTTTCTCATCCTGTTACTACAAATGCCAGCAACTTGTATTCTTCTTCTTTTCGTGAATAATCACAGGGTCAGAAATTACTTAGAATAGGTGTGTGGGAGGGGACTCTGGGAGAGAAGGAGTGGCTTCTAAGTCTACTGTGAGTGCTGGGCAGTTATTTTGGTCCATCTCCCACCTCATATCCGTGAGCAGGAAGGCTCTGCTTCTGGTTATTACATTTGTACTCCAGGTCCTTCAATAATCCAAGTTGTTGACAATGGGATGCACAGGAGACATTCTACAATCCTCCCACTTCCTCTTCCCAAGAGTCTGAGACCTACGATGGCTCTACTCCATCCCCCAGAAACCTTGGAGATCCCACTTATCCCTGACATTCTTGTTTCTCTTGGTACTGCATATCTCATCTTCATCTTCCTCTCTGCTCAGGGGAAAACAATGTCATGGCAAATATTAATATCCCCCCTCAAAAAAATTGTCTATTATTTCAGATGTGCCCCTGGAGGCAGAGAAGAAATAATTTTCAGAAATTCTATCCCCAGAGTCCTCGCTCTTAGAAGACCAGTCAGGGTAGGGCAATACCCAATTGCCCTGGCAAGCCTCAGACTGGCCTGATCTTACCCAATACCCACTGACCATGCTCCAATGGTGGAGCATGAAGTAATTTTGTTACCTCTGCAGGTCTCAGTTAATCACTAACAGCTGCCATTATTAATATTCCACTGTATCCTAGGGAATTTGTAGGAATTTGTCAGGGTTCTCCAGAGAGACAGAGCCAATAGGAGATAAATAGATAGATAGATAGATAGATAGATAGATAGTTTAGAGGGAATATATTAAGGGGCTCACTCATTTATGGAGAAGTCCCATGACATACCATCTATCTGCAAGTTGGAGACCTTGTGATGCCAGAACCCGGTTCAGTTTCTAGCCAAAGGCCTTAGAACCAAGGATGCTGACGGTGTAACTCTTAGTCCAAGGTCAAAGGCCTGAGATTCTAGAGTTGAGGATTGGGCAGGGAGTATGAGGGGGTGCTGGTACTAGTCCTAGAATCCAAGAGCTGGGGATCCCGGTGTTCCATTGTTCAATGCAGGAGACAAGTGTTTTCCAGCTCCAGGAAATAGACACATTCACCTTTCCTCTGATTTTATTCTCTCCAGGTCCCCTGCCAATTGGAAGGTGCCCACCCACATTGAGGGCAGATCTTTCCCACCTAGTTCACTCAGACTCACACGCTAATCTCCTCTGGAAATACCCTCCCAGGCACACCCAAAAGTCATGCTTTACCAGGTTGCTAGGTATGTCTTAAGCCAGCCAAGTTGATGCTTAAAATTAACCATCACAAGTATATTCATGCCCTGCATAACAATGTTTTGGTCAAGGATGAACTGCACATAAGATGGTGGCCCCATAAGATCATAATGAAGCATGTAAAGAAATCTTATATGTGGCCCTTGATATTGGCATTACAGATTAAATAGGGGAAATGATTAATATTCAGTAATGGTACTGTTCTCATTCACCTTCTAGCAGTGGGAGTACCGCCAGGCCTCCTGATCAATTGAGTCCAAATCCTGATCTCATCCTGATCAGTAGTGACTAAAGTCCTCTCCAGTTCTGCTCAGCTCTTTTTCTCTTCTATGGATCCTCACTCCTCAAATCAGAATCATTGATATTCCTCCCCCCCAAAATTTATTCTTTATCCAGAGTTCTATCATTTAATATGCTTTGAGCTTCAATAACAGAATATTCCATCAACAATGGTATAGACAATGAGTCTCACATTATAGAAGCCAGAGAAGGAGGAATCATCAAGATAGCAGACTAGACACACCTGGCATTCACCTCCTCCGCAAAGAACCAAAACAGTGAGTAGATAACCATACATTGAATAAAGTGTCTAGGAGAGAACACTGGGATTCATCAGGAAAGTGAGAAGAATTCACTGAGGCATGAAAGGAAAGGAAAGGAAAGGAAAGCAGCCAGCCTGGTGGGCTGAGATTTGCTCAGAGCTAGGAGGGCCTCTTCACTGTATAGGAAAAGTAAGTGAGAAATCCCAGCACTCTACATTCCCACCACAGATGCCTGCAATTCTTGCCATGGGAGAGCCCCTCAGCCATCACAGGCCCTGAGTCTCCTATAGGGAGCTGCCTGGAGTCTACACAACTGCATTGTTCTGGAGAGGGAGTTTGTGCTGGGTCCTACTCACTCTCCAAGACCCATGAAACTGCAGCATGGTGCCATTTTGAGTTCCCACCCCTCACTAGACTGCATCCTACCCTGGAGCCTAACAACCCTGCATTGCCACATCCCTGGAATCCCACTGAGCCCAGCACCACCACATCCACTTAGGGAGCTGCAGTGTTACAATGCCAGCTAGACCAAGCAATGCAGCCAGAACCCCAGCACCCAGGCACGCACAGTGCCCTACACCTTGGGGAAAAGGCAGTGCAGTACACAAGAAAGGCTTTCCCTAGGACAAAGGGAGCCAAAGAATGCAGTCCCCAGAACCTGGGATGTGTCTGCCCAGAGCCACTGTCACTGCCAGCAACAATTCCCCCTCCATTAGCAGCACAACCATACACCTGTGCATGCTTTCAGGGAGCCTGAGAACTGGCTTTCCTGGTGCTACCCACCAACACCACTGCCACAAACACTTGTGTGCACCATCTCAGAGCATCCATGCACTTGTGTGCATCCATCTCTGAAGAGCAACACACCTGCCCATTGCCACTAGAGCCTGTACATAGCATCTGGAGGCCAAAAGAGTGGCTCACCCAGCCTGCCACCACTGATCCCCAAACATATTTTCCAGGAGCATGAAGATCATCCCACCCCACCTGCTAACATCAGCACCCAAACATGCTGTCCAGGGGCCGAAGGATAAGCTCACCCCACCTGCTGCCACTGCCAGCACCTGCACACACCTCTTGGAGGCCCAGGGACCAGCTTCCTGACTTGCTGCTACTGCCAACATCCATCCAAGCATGCCACCTGGGACCCAGGTACTGGTGTGCCCAGTCTGCCACTGCCATCATATATGCTACACAGGGGCCCCCAAGGGTTGCCCCACTGCTGTTACTGCACCAACAACACCATGAGCACCACCTAGGGGCCTGAGGACTGGCCTACCTAGTCCACTGCTGGCACTCACACATACCACCTGGATGCCAAAGGACTGGCCTACTCAGGCCCCACCACCACTACTACTAGCACCTGAATATGCTACTCAGGGACCTGAGGACTAGCACACTCACCCCAATGCCACCACCATCGGTGCTCATACACACACCGAAGCACCCAAGGTCCAACCCACCTGAGTTCTCTGTCACCAGCAAATCCTCACCATAGTTTCCACTAAAAATCACAGCCTAAGCCACTGGGAAACTCACAAACACCAATGAAGCTGATTACAGTTGAAGAAATCGCATGCAGACTACTCTACTGCACCCACTCAGAATCAAAGCCAAAATATCTTATCCAAACAACTATAGATACATCCAAATATAGATACATCTATAGGAAAAAGTATTTCCCTATGAAAGCCAATCCATAAAGTTAGAAGAAGTAAATGTTACACCAGATATACAGATATCAACATAATATTGTTGTGCAGACACAAAAAAATATGAAAAAGCAAGAAGAAAACATGACATTTCCAAAGGAATAGAACAGTTCTCCAATAACAGATCCCAAAGAAAGAAAATATAAGAAATGCTTGAAGAAGAATTCAGAATAATGCTCTTAAGAGAACTCAGTGATATACAAAAGAGCACAGATAGATAAGGCAATGAAATCAGGAAAACAATTCATGTTCTGAATGTGAAATTAAACAAAGAAATAGATATAAAAAAAAAAAGAAATCCTGGGTGGCACCTATGGCTCAAAGGAGTAGGGCACTGGCCCCATATACCAGAGTTGGTGGGTTCAAACCCAGCCCTGACCAAAAACTGCAAAAAAAAAGAAAAAAGAAGAAATCGTAGGTGCAGTGCCTGTGGCGCAAGTGGCTAAGGCACCAGCCACATATACCCTGAGCTGTTGGGTTTGAAACCAGCCCAGGCCCACCAAACAACAATGATGGCTGCAACCAAAAAAATAGCCAGGCATTATGGTGGGCCCCTCTAGTCCCAGCTGCTTGGGAGGCAGAGGCAGGAGAATCACTCAAGCCCAGGAGTTGGAGGTTGCTATGTGCTATGATGCCATGGCACTCTACCCAGGGCAACAGCTTGAGGCTTTGTCTCAAAAAAAAAAAAAAGAAAGAAAGAAAGAAAGAAAGAAATCCTAGAACTGAAGCAAAAATGAAAAATAAACTTGAGAGCTTCGAAAATAAACTAGACTAAGGAGAAAAAAGTATTTCTGAACTTGAAGACAGGTCTTTTGAAATAACCCAGTCAAACAAAGGAGAAAAAGAAGAATGAAGAGGAGAGGGAGGAGGAGGGGAAGGAGAGAAGAAAAAGAAAGAAAAAGTTAAAAAAAAAAAAACCAGAATGAAGAAAGTCTACAGAAAGTAAACAAATACTCAAATTGCGGGAGTTCCAGAAGGAGAAAAACAAGGCAAAATCATAGAAAATCTAGTAAATAAAATAATAGATGAAAAATGCCTAAATCCATGACAGATATAGACATCTAGATACAGGAAGCTCAAAAATTTTCAAATAGATTCAACCCAAAAAGGTCTTCTCTAAGGCATATTATAATCAAACTGTCAAAAAGTCAAAAATGAAGTGAATTCAAAAAACAAGAGAATAGCATCAAGTCACATATAAGAGAATCTTCATGAGGCTCCATGCCTGTAGCTCAGCAGCTAGGGTGCCCGCTACATACACCAGAGCTGGTGGGTTTGAATCCAGCCTGGGTCTGCCAAACAACAACAACTACAAAAAAAAAAAAAA